TAAAACCCCAGACTATTACTCACCGCTGGGCCGTTCTAGACAAGCGTCTGCATTATTTTTGGCTGCCTTTGCCCTGGGGCTCCTGGAAGCCAGGGATTCGGGGAAGCCGCAGCAGAGCTGTGTTTAAACAAGTGCTCTTAATAGAGCTGCGTGGGGAGCGGGTAACGCTGCGGAATTCACGGTGGGGAGGGAAGGGGCCGTGCACCCCATTCCCCCGACAATTCCGTGGGCCCTGTCCCGAGGGGGCAGCAGGACCCTTCCTGCTTGTGTCACTTGGCAGCTGGAAGGAGCTGGGAGGCTCTCAGAGGGGTTTCAGGGCCTGGCAGAGCAATTCCCCATGGGCCGGGTGTTGCGATGGGGCATCAGCTCTCCCTGCACCGCGGGGAGCGTGCGGGTCTGTGCGGGGTGCTGGCCCTCGCTGAGCCGGCATCCCCCACGCAGGCGCTCTACCACGGCAAGTTCATCGATACGGGCTTCACGCTGCCCTTCTACAAGCGGATGCTGAACAAGCGGCCCACGCTGAAGGACCTGGAGTCCATCGACCCCGAGTTCTACAACTCCATCGTCTGGACCAAGTCAGTGCCCTGGGCTCCCCCCGGGCCGGGCCCCGCTCGGGGCCGGGCGCTCCCTCCTCAGAGCCTCGCGCCTCCACGAGCACTAACGTCTTGGCGTCCTCCCGCAGGGAGAACAGCCTGGAGGAGTGCGGCCTGGAGCTGTACTTCATCCAGGACATGGAGATCCTGGGCAAGGTGACCACCCACGAGCTGAAGGAGGGCGGGGAGAGCATCCGGGTGACGGAGGAGAACAAGGAGGAGTACATCATGTGAGCGCGGGTCGCGGCTGCAGGGCGGTCCTGCTGTGGGGACGTGGGCTTGGGGACGTGGCCGCTTCCTGGCGCTACGTGGCCTGTGACAAGCATGGGCTGGCACGGGCAGCGCCGCTGCGGTCTGGCTGCTGCTGCCTGGGCCGGTGCCAGCGCTTGCAGGGAAGAGGAGAGGGGAGAGAGGGGGAGACGCCTCTCCCGGGGCTGCAGCGCTTGGGGCTGTCCGGCTGGACCGGGGGGACTGCCAGCCTCTTGGTCCTGCTCCCAGTGGGCTCCGGCCAGGGGATGTCACTTGTCCCCCTCACCCCAGTGCCCTCCGCTGCCCTGTCCCCAGTGCCCTCCGCTTACCTGTCCTCGTGCTGCTCAGGGCTTTGGCAGAGGAGAGAGAGAAACCCACTGGTGGGAATGAAGGGGACCCCTTGCAGGGTGCAGGGCCCCCCTTCTGGCCCCCACG